AGCCGATTGACGTATAAATAAATAAATAAATATTCAAAACATTGAAAGAGGTACGGCGATCATATACCGGAATACAATTGCTGTAAAAAATCCTATATTATCAACTGATGCAAAAATAACATCGATGACAAAAATAGAATTATACGTATTTATGCTCCATCTGAAAGCAAAAATAAAAACATTCGAAATTCCTTCTTTGCAAATGATATACTGCCACATATCGTCGATAGATACAGTAGATTGAGTTTAATAGGAGATTCCAATTGTGTGATAAATGCAAAAGACCAGCAAGGTAATTTCAAATTCTATTAATTTCTGTAATGGTTTAAATAGATTAGTTCAACAACTGGATCTTAAAGATACATGAGAGAAGCAGTATGGAAATTTAGTGAAATTTACCTTCATAAGACATTCACAAAATCTAGGATAGACAGAGCATATGTATCTAAAAATATTGCGGATACAATTAAGAATACAGAATTAATTTCGGTAAGTGTTAGTGATCACCACATGCTTAAAATAAAATATATAACTGATTATAAATTACCAATTTATGGAAAAGGAATATGGAAATTGAATACAGAAACGTTGAAAAACTCGACAAATATTTTTCAAGAAATATGCAATAAAAATAAAAGTGCATATAAATATAAAAATGACGTAATAAGTTGGTGGATTGATCAAATGAAGCTAACAATTAAAAGATTATTCAAATCAATGGCAATTGATGCAGCAAACATGAGAAGACAAACTATCAACAATATGCAAGAATTATTAACAGATATGTCACAAAAAGAAAATAGCGAAGAAGATTTAACGGAATAAATTAGAGAATTAAAAACAAGGATCATATTAATGCAAAATAAGTATTTAAATGGAACAATGATAAGAAGTAAAATTAAGACTATTGATGAATATAAAAATGCGTCGTTATTTAGTCACGCTAAAGATATCAAAAACAAAAACAGTTCGTATATAAAGGAGTTAAAAAATAATGAAAAATTACAAAAATGAAAGACATTTTGGAACATGTTGAAAATTATTTTGAAGAAAACTTTAAAATCCAAGAATCTTCAGAAAAACACCAAACAATGTTAATACAAAATATTACAAAATTTCTAACAACAACTGATGCAGAAAACCTCAATAAAGAGATAACAATCGGTGAATTATGTGTGGTAATCCAGAGTATGAGTAACAACAAGACAACAGGACACCAGGACCCGATGGAATACCATATGAATTTTGTAAGTATCATCTAGAAATTATAAAAAATGATTTTGTAAATATATTGAATAAAATTTTTCAAGATGTTAGAAATCAACGGCTATTCGAAGGGATAATAACCTTAATACCAAAAGGCAAAAAACATACCATAAAAAACTATAGGCCGATAACTCTTTTGAATTCTGATATAAAAATACTAAATAATTTTCTCGCTAACAGAATAAAATTTAAAGTTAGTAAAATATTAGGTAGTGAGCAAACATGTGGTACCGAATAAAAATATCTCATATAATTTAGAATGGAATGGAATAAGATCTTCCATAGAGTAAAAAAATAAAAATATGGGAATTGTGAATATCGATTTCCAAAAAGCATTTGATACGGTATCACATACATTTCTTTTCCAAATAATAAATAAAATGAATTTCCCATCAAAAGTTATTAATTTTGTTAAAAATTATTATAAGTAGTCGAAGTCAAAAGTATTAATAAATGGATACACAACAAAAAATATTCGAATTGAATAATCTATAAGGATGTCCATTATCAATGTTGCTATTTAGTATGGTTTTAGAACCGCTAATTAGGACTTTTCACAAAACATTAAATAGAACAGCATTTTGCATATGCTGATGACGTGACTATAATTATGAGAAATATAAATGAACTGAAATGATTAAACATATTTTAGAACACTATAAAAAAATGAATATGAAAATGCGTCAAACACTTCAAATCTCACCATAAATAAATCCAAGACTAAAATTTTAGAAGTAGGAAATTGGAGAAGCAGGCAAATAAATACAAACATAGAAATAACTGATAGAATTAAGGTTTTAAGATTAACATTTAGAAGAAATTTAGAAGATACAACCATGAAAAACTGGAATAGAGTAAAAACTAGTGTCAGAAATATATTATATAATGGCGAAAGTAGAAACTTCAATCTGATTCAGTAAGATTCGTGAATATATATGCATTATCAAAATTATGGTATATTGCGCAAATCATAACTGGCCCAAAGATTATAATTAAAGAAATTCAGTATATAGTGAATGAATTTATATGGCAAAGCCATTTATATAAAATTCAAATAAAAAAAATGAAAAAAATATGAAGAAAGTGGATTAAACCTCATTAATGTAGAGACCAAAGCAGACGCACTTATCACCAGCAACTTTATAAAAATCATAAATGGAGAAAATTCCGAAAACAAAAATTCAATATTGAATTATATTGGATAATTTTAAAACCAGAACATCTGGTGTGACCGTCGCTGTAACATTGTAAAATATTATTACATATAACGGTCAGGAAAAGGTTTGTTAATCCCGTAAACACATGTTTTTCAGTCGAGTTTCGGCAGCCGTAGTGAGCACATCGTTCAAAATATTTATTTAATAGTATAATTTTGATTGTTGTGAATAGAAGAAATTATAACGGGTTATTATGGATACCGAGCCACCTGACCCGGGTGGCGGTGAGTCACAATCGTTATCAGATGTCGATATAAATACAAGTAGTGAAAGTGAATTGGAGTGGGATAATAATACATATTATGTCACAGAAGGTGACAAAATTCATTGGGTAAATGATACCACTAATATTAGAGATAAATCGGGAATAATTAATAGGAAAGATGGTGAAACATATAGAATTTATAATGAAAATAATGTAATGACTGGTAATAATTCAATAAATGACAGATCGGAAAGTACAAATAAAAAGTTAAAAGCAGATGTAATTAAAGAGGCAAATGCAAATCAAACTAGTGATAATAATTCAGTAGTAAATGAAAACAATGAAAACAATAATAATTGGTATAATATGTGTGTAAAGGACATGGAAACCATTAAAGAAATGAAATTTTATCAAGAAACGGATGAAGGCCCATTCATAGTGCATGCTGAGAGTAAAGATAAAAATATTGGAAGATTTCACCCAATGGCAGTAGGAAGAATCTTTCATAAACATTTAATAAATTTGAGTAAAGATATAGAAGAAATCAGATCAATCGGTAAAAATAAAATAAATATAGTATTGAAAAATTATAAGAGTGCAAATAGAATAATAAGAGAAAATTTATTAGAAATATTTAACATTAATGCATATATACCTAGACACAAATTAATGAGATCGGGAATTATCTTTGATATTGACCCAGAAATAGATGAAAAAGAAATATTGAGCAGTATTCGAAGTGATTGTGAAGTTTTGGCAATTAAATGTTTAAAGGGTAGAAATAATGAAACAAAAAAGGTTAGATCACAACGAGTCAAAATTGTATTTAGAGGTAATAAATTACCGGAAAGAGTTTATATACATTCAGTAAGTTGTAGGGTTGAACCATTTATTCAGAAAGTAATACAGTGCCACAATTGCTGGAGGTATGGTCACGTACAGGCCCAATGTAAAAGTAAAATACGTTGTAAAAAGTGTGCAGAGGAACATAAAATGGAGGTATGTAAAAGTGAATTAGTGATATGCGGTCTATGTTATCGAAATCATCTAGCGGATGATAAAGGCTGTGAGGTTTACTTGAAAAATAAAAAAATTAAAGAGATTATGGCAATGCAGAATATAACATATTCCGAAACAAGAAAGATAGTGCAAAACAATGGATACGCTGAAGCAGTTGGTAACACCAATCAGTTTAAAACATATGAAAGTAGTTACCCAGAAATCATTAATACCACTGCACGGAATTCAAGTACATCAAGTAGTAATAGGTATCAAATACTATCAAATTGGAAGGAAAAAGAAGAATATTATGACAAAGAAGTGTTAATGAGAATAAATAAGCCATATAATAGGAATAATATGAGAAATTTTTACAACAGAAATTTTGAACATCGGTCAGGGGTAGATTTAGTAGAAAGAAATGATAGTACTAATTCAAACAGAAGGAATAAAAGAAATGAGATTAGAGAAATATCAACTGCACGGAGGATACAATTGAGAAGTGATATTATGAATATAATTAAAAAACTAGAGGATCAGAGATATGGGATAGATGTAAATAAAGAAGATAATATGAATTTGATAAAAACAAAATTAGAATTAGTTTTAGAAAGTTTAGGTAAAGGTAGTGAAAAAAAATCATTAGAAATGGTTTATTCTGAAGGAATTGATTAATTATTTATTTAGCAAAGATTAATGTGTGAGTATGTAGGTAAAATTTAAAATTTAAAATTTAAAAATTATGTATGTGTGTATGTATATATATATGTGTGTGTGTATATATATAAATATATATTGAAAAAGAAATAATAAGAAGATAGTTAAGGTTCTATTGTATTTATTTGTTTATTTGGTTAAGTAATGTTAAATCAATTAATTAATTATTGTTATTAATTTTTTATATATAAGGATTAAATTATGAGAATAATGCAATGGAATATTAGATCGTTTTATGCAAATAAAGAAAGTTTAGAAGAGTGGTTATATAATAAACAATTAGATATAATAGCATTATCAGAAACCTGGTTCAATAAGAATAGGCAGTATAATCTAAAAAATTTTAATTGTATAAGAAAAGATAGGAACGATAATAAAGGAGGGTCGGCATTATTTATAAATAAAAATATAGATAGTAGGGAATATGAAATAAATTTTGAATCAGTCGAAGAAATAATTGTCAAATGTGTGCAGCAGAAGTTAACGTTAATAAGGAAAAAATTTATTTGATATCATTGTATGTTGTTCCTAAAACGAATATTTCAAAAGAGCAATGGAATAGATTATTCTGTAAAATCCCAAAACCTTGTATCATTATGGGAGATTTTAATGTTCACCATTATGCGTGGGGTTGCTCATATAGTGATAGATATGGTAATGAACTATTGGAATCAATTGAAGGAAACAATTTATATTTAGTGAACAATGGAAGTCCGACTCTGGTATTCAAAAATTCAAAAACGGTGGTTGATATAACTTTATGTTCATCAGAAATAATAAATAAGATAAAGTGGGAAGTGCAAAAGGAGTCACTGGGATCTGATCATTTTCCAATCCATGTTGAACTTAATGTGAAAAAAGACAAATATATAAATACATCAGTAAGAAAATGGAATTGTAAACGAGCAGACTGGGATAAATATAAATCCGTTATAGAAGAAAAATGCGAAAAGATAGATAATTCTACAACAGAAGTTAGTTATAGTGAATTATTAGATTGGATTGATAGTGCAGCTAACAGCAGTATACAAATTAATAAGGTGAGAAATAAAACCAGAAGACCAATGTGGTTTGATAATGAGTGCTTGGATTTAATTAAAAAACGAAGAGAAATAGAAGCAAAATACAGAAATAATGCAAACTGGGAAAACTTTATGGAATGTAATAGATTCAAGGCAAAAGTAAGAAGAATTTTCAAATTGAAAAAAAGAGAAAGCTGGAATAATTATATAAATAATATAAAACCTAAAACGCCCGCTAGGAAAGTTTTCAAAATGGTAAGATCTATGCTAAATATGGGTGAATCGGGAAATGTATCAAATGTAGTGATGATGTATTAGATGTTCTAGTAGACAAAATAGCACCACCAGGAGTTAGTTACAATATTGATGAAGATTTAAATGGGTATGCGGAAATGGAAAATGATTTATTAAGTAAACCGTTTACAAAATGGGAACTAGAAAAAACCTGGCATAAAAGAACGGATACAGCGCCTGGATTAAATAATATTCAATATTCAATGTTAAGAAACCTTCCAGAGAAAGGTAAACAAATATTACTAAAGATAATTAATAAATATTGGAAGAGGCCTGAATTAATTGATGACTGGCATATTAATAAAGTGATTTTATTAAGAAAACCAAATATAAATAGAAATGAAATAGATGCCTATAGACCAATAACTTTAAGCTCGTGCATAGCCAAGATAAAAGATAGATTGATAAAGAGGAGGCTAGAATGGTGGTTGGAACATAATAAAATATTCCCAAGAACTCAATTTGGTTTCAGAAGAAAACATAGTACAATGGATAATTTAAGTATATTTATTAGTGACATATATTTGGCATTTTCTAAAAATACATATGTTGTAGCACTATTTAGTGATATAAAGGGAGCTTATGACAATGTAATACCTAATATTTTAATGGATAAATTATTAAAGTTAGGTTTGCCATTAATTTTTGTACGAAGTATAATTTATAATGTTTTTCAAAGAAAAATAGTTATAGAGATGAATGATAGAAAATATGAAAGATACTTATACAAAGGACTTCCGCAAGGGGGTATACTGAGTCCTTTATTATATGCTTTATATGCTTATGACTTAGAAAAAATTTGGGTACCTGGAACAAAGATCTTACAATATGCTGATGATGTTGTGATTTATGTAGAAAGGAAAACATTAAAAGATGCTTTGGAGATTATGACAAACAATATTGATTTATACAATTTATGGTTGAGCAAAAATGGTTTAACATTATCAGAAAAAAAAGTACGATTGGTATATTCACTAGACATAATAAAAGAAATTTCCCAACAAGCATTCAAACAAAAAATTATAATATAAAAGTTCAAGAAATAAATAAATTTTTAGGAATTTATCTAGATCAAAAGTTGGCATTCAAGACACATATAGAAAGTATTAAAAAAAAGACAGAAAAAAGTATAAATATATTAAGAATGTTAAATAAAACTTGGAATGGTTTACATCCAAGTTCAGCATTAAACCTATATAGAGTATTAATTCGACCAAAATTAGATTATGGCTCTTGGATATTTAGTAACAGTAGAAAAATTCAAGATTTAGACAAGATTCAATATCGATGTCTTAGAATATGTATAGGAGCAATGAAGTCAACGCCAACAAATGTATTATTATTGGAAAGTGGAGAAATGCCATTAGAAATAAGACGAAAGCTCTTATGTGATAAATATATTTTGAAAAACATAATAAATAATGAATCTGTGTTGAATTACAAACTGATGGAAATATGGAGATGTATAGACAGGAGCACATATTGGATAAACAAAAAAGTACCAGACATTCTAAGCAGTTTTCAATTTTTAAAGGATTATAGGAAATTTAACGTAGTCCATGGAGTTCATCCATATTATGAAAAACTGTATTATAATAAAAGAACGATTGTAGTCAAAAAAGAGTATAAAAAGTGGATAGAACACGATGGACCTAATAGTATAATTTTATATACGGATGGGTCGAGAAATAATGTTTCACATAGAGTTGGATGTGCAATATGGATTGAAAAGGAAAAAATACCAATATGTTATAAACTCCCGGAGTTTATTTCTATTTATTCGGCAGAACTAATAGCTATTCGTGAAGCTGTTAGAATAGCTAAAATGAATAAGTATAAAAAAACTATGATTTTAACAGATAGTTTAAGTTGTGTAAATAAATTAGAGAAGTTCATGAATACAATAGAATTTGAAGAAAAATATATTTTGAAATATTGAATGATATAGAGATAATTACAGGGATTGGAAATAACATAAATATTGAATGGGTACAAGGTCATATAGGTGTGGAAGGAAACGAAAAGGCTGATGAACTGGCAAAAACAGCAAGTGTAAGCGGACAAGAATATAATAAATGCTTATATGGTGACATAATTAAGAAAATTAAAATTAAATCAGAGGAGAGATGGAAAGAATTATGGAGAGAAACATCGCAAAGAAAAGGAAGGCATTACAAATTATATAATGACTGTTTATCGTTTAAACCATGGTTTGAAGAGTTTAAAAATGAAGAAAGAAGTTTTATTGTCACCATCAGTAGGATAAGAACCAAACACGGAAGCTATGCGAAACACTTGCATAGAATAAAAGTGATAAATTCAGATATATGTAAATGTGGAGAGGAAGAAGGTACTCTGGAACATATAATTCTGGAATGTAAAAAATATGAAGAAAACAGAAAAAGAATGTTAAATTATATATATAGAAATTTAGATATTATCAAACCGTTTAACTTAGATCTATTAATTTGTAATAAGAATAGCTATAGAGTAATATATGAATTTTTAGTTAGATCAAAAATTAAAATATAAATATGTATATTTAAAATTATATAGAAAATATTTAAGTTAAAATGTATGTTATATGGCTAATTGTATAATAAGAGGAAGCCAATAAAAATAAAAAAAAAAAAAAAAAAAATCCCGTAAACGGGACGATCCTGCCAAGGCTCGACGGCTTATATAATTAGGTTATTAAAATGTCAATAAAATGTATTCCGTCGGCCTGAAATAAAATGAATATTCAGTCTAGCATAAACAGGCAAAGAATAAGGAGGTATTTTGTAAAATAGTATATAGAATAAATTAATGTGATATAAGAAAAGTTTCATTTTCTAAAACAATCATCGTGGGGATTTCGCATTTCATCGATTAATAAAAATTACAGTCCACTATCGAAGCATCACAACGACGTCATGTTGTAAATCGCTCCATTTGGTCATCTTCGAACCAGATTTTTAAAGTTGATTTAATCAACGTTTTGAGCCACGCATTCAAGCTTTGGACAGACCAGTTATCAAGACAAAAGCTTATTAGTACTGACTAATAAATGTCTCTAAAATAACTGAGTTTAAATAAAGTGATTGTGAAAGTGAAACTGTAAAAGTATTCAAAACTTATTTACAAAAACCTAATAATATTAAAATTTTTTGGTGCAGTGAGGCATTGCCAAAGTTATCGTTGTTGTAAAGACGTGTAATTTAGGTGATGTGAAATTAAGGGTCGCTTTTGCTGCATTTGCTCGAATCCATTACTGATTCGAGGCACCGCCGTAATCCTATACTGATACGATAGCGACGCCGGAAGCGACCAGCCTACTATTTTGAGGCATTCACCAGGAACGTGAAGCACCATCCGAGTAACAGTGATCTCTTCAGCACCATCCGAGTATTTGGATCCACTCGAAGATACCGCCACGTTTCCCGTCAAATCAACACTACACCAGATAAGCCATAATTTTATTTCATTATATAAATCTGGACATATTATTGATTGAAATTGGATCTTGCTCTAAGATTTTGGGCCAATTTCGTAAATCCTTAGGTTATTAATTGTTATGAAATATTATATCAGTTATTATAAACATTACTAATTATGGTTTATATATTTGTTAATTTATTTACACCACACTTATTATGTTACTGATGTGCTAGACTCCAATTCTAATATTATTAAATTAGAATTGTTAAATAATCAATTGATTATAGATTTAAATTCTGATATAATCGCTGATATTGCATAACGCCTGTTATACGTAAAATTTTGTAACGGTTGCGCTTCCCTATCAAAAAATTAAATTTATTGAGTTCTAAAAACAATTAAAATGGCAGAACTTAAAAATTTTAAGAAGGCAACAAAGCTTCAAATCTTATCTTGAAAGGTTAAATAATGATAATTGGGATCAACATTCTTCAGAAATGATAAAAGGTATTAAAAAGCATGTTTGACAATAGATTCGCGGAGTACGAAAAGGTTAGGGCAGCCATCCACGACTCGCTTGACGAACAGGATGAAGATGTTTTAATAGATAATATTTACCTAAAGCTAACCATTGAATTCACGCATCACATAGACAATTCAAATAATACACAAAATAATAGTAAAAATTGTGTCAATTTAGCCATAAAATTACCGAATATTCAAATTCCAACTTTTGATGGTAAATATAATAAGTGGATTAGTTTTAGAGATTTTTACCCCCACATCACAATCCACAATAATATTAATTTATCGGATGTCGAAAAACTGTACTATTTGAAATGTCATGTGTCGGGAGAAGCTGCCGCTATAATTAATAATATAGCCCTCACTGACAATATTACTCTGAAGCATGGGCTTTGTTATCTGCAAAATTGAAAACACGTGTATATTGTCTATTCACATTTACAAAAAATTATGGATATTCCAACGTGTTCGAAAGATACATACGAAATTTTAAAATCTTTTTTGAATATTGCACAGCAAAATCTAAATTCTCTCAAAGCGCTGTGCATAAAGTTGAAAATTGAGACCTTTTAATGGCCTTTTTATTATTGAATAAATTAGATACAGATACCAAAATAAAATTTAATACCTTTCGATCACAAAAGGAATTGCCGACTGTATCGGAAATTTTAGGTTTTGGAAAATAGTTGTTTGGCGTTTGGAGCTTTCTCGTAAGTTAGACATAGACCCGGACAAAATCAAATCAAACGAAAAGCTTTGATTTCGGTTTCAAATATTCAAACGATAGTTTGCAAGCTCTGTACAAATGCACATCATCTTTCTACATGTAACAAATTTATTGAAAAACCAGTTTCAGAAAGGTTAGTTTTCATTCGCGAAAATAAAATGTGTTTGAAATATTTAGGTGACAGGACATACAATCCGATCATGTAAATCAAAATATAAATGTAAAAATGTGTCATAACCTCATAATTCTTTATTACATTAGAACAGAGTCTGCAAACTAAAGCAAATAACCCGCAATCTCCCGGGCCGTCTACTGCGGTATTACCTGCATCACAAGTTTTGAATGCTAATTTAAATAACACGTGCGCTCTATTACTGACTATTTGCTTATTGTCAAAAATATTCGGGGGAAAAAATTCTGTACGGTGCATTCTAGAAACGGGTTCAGAAATAAATATTATTACCAAAGGTTAGGGATTCTCTAGGTATAAACACCGTTCCAAGTTCCGTACAGCTGACTGGAGTTAATGGCATCAATATAATGGCGATTCAATTGCACGCGTATCGATTTCAAACGAGTCTTCTAGTTTTTCAAAACAGTATCGTTCGTCATATTAGAAAAAAAT